GAGGCCCCGGGTTCAATCCCCAGTGCTGAAAAAATAATCCAACTCAAGTGTGCACCCCCTTCCTGCTCCCAACCCTGGATGGCTTCGGTCCCATACTTGAAATGCAGAGTCCTAAATTCTCCCTTACCCTCGCCCCCTCCAGGGCACTGCAGCCTCCCAGTCCTCAGCAGCTCAGCAGGCCACCGTTTCCACCCCCACCCCGCCTTGACACCGGCTTCTCCTGTTATGTCCTTCCCTCAGCGACCCTATCCATGACAGTGAAGACTCCCCAGACTACCCCCTCCTCAAAGCCTTCCCTCTATCTGGCTCCCTGCTCCCCAACCACCCACGTAAGTTCAATTAGTGATCGCCTACTCGGAGGTCAAGAGCCGTAAACGGCGGAAGGATCCTTTTTGCTGTTGTGTCCACTGTGGTAGTGGAAGGTAATGTTGATCCCAGTTGGGGGTTGTATGGGCGCTGTTTTTTAAACTCTACTTTATTTGGGGTTCCTCATGCATCTACCTCCCTTCCAACCCCTTCCCCCAACTCTAGGGACGAGAGAGAAGGTTAGAAGGGTGAGGGGACGCAGACCTCCTTATACTCAGTTCTGGCTGGTTAGGGTCGTCCGGTTCTTTGGGGGCAATGCCAATCTCGGTTGTCAGGATTGCAGTCTAGCACCCGCAAACAGCAAAAGGCAGCAGCAGAACCAACAAGCAACCTTTCTCCTCCGCCCGTCTCTCCACCTGTCTCCTCGAAAAGCTCAAGCTCGCGCTGGGCTCTCGAATTCATACTCTCCCAGAGGCCTCAGCCTTCCACTACCTCCAGCTGGCAGAGATCACAGGCCTCTCTGAGCCTACAAGAGGCTGTTAGCACCTGGCAAAGACCACACCCCATAGGAGGCAATTATCAACTGTGAGCAAACTTCATAGCCCACACTTGGGCTTAAAACAAAACCACATTTGCCTAACATAACTGAGTTTTTAAAGAACCCCAGACTTCCACTACAGGGTTGCCATCAGCATTTAGAGGTAGGAGCTAGAGGCCCCAGGCAACCCATAAACAGGCAGATTCTACATTAGGTGCAATATAATCAGAAAGGATCTTCTCAGAGCCCAGAATCTAACTCCATTTCACACATCAACTGAAGCACTTTGGGTATACATGATGTATGGCAAATTATCTGAGAATGTTTGTTGAAAATGGCTTTTTCAACTAAACTTTAAAAGAAAAAGAAAAAAAAAAGTTTAGCCAAGCATGGTGGCAACACACATTTAATCCCAGCACAGCGGGAGACAGAGACAGGTGGATATCTTTGAATTTGAGGCCAGCCTGGTCTACAAAGTGAGTCCAGGACACCCAAGGCTATACCAAGAAACCCTGCTTTGAAAAAAAGAAAAGAAAAAAATTAAAATTAAAAAAACTGAAAGAAAATAAAATAAAAACAGGCCTTTTCTTTGTATAACAGTCTTAGCTGTCCTAGAACTCATTTTGTAGACCAGGCTGGCTTCAAACTCACAGAGCTCTACCTTTCCCTGCCTCCTGAGCGCTGGGATTGTGGGCCACCACGCCCAGCTAGATTCTGGGACTGCTAACTGCTATGTAAAGTGGAGAACACACACGACCCTCGTGGCGATGTTCCAGCATCGGTCACACACATGACTGTCACCTTCCTAGCCTTCCTGTCCCCACTGTAGAAACACATCCCATCTTTATATCACAGGACAAAATGACACATTTTAGGTAGATGTGGAAGTCGGCACACAAGCAGTTTCATTTCCAGAGCGTGTGGGCAGCGCAGGAGGATGCACCCAGAAAGTGTCTTGCCATGAGAAACTCCTCTGCCGGACTCTGTCTTTACACAAGTTCAAATCTGGGCCCCACTACTCGTCCCTATGCGACCCTACAAGCAGCATACTTTAAGCCTCGCCTTCCTCCCCTGTCAAATGGGAGCCACATTAGAAACTGCCAGGAACAGAGGCTGTTTCATGTCTATTACCATCACCCTTCCTTGAGCCAACTTTCCTGGCCAGTGGACTAGGGCTGGGGGCATGGGGACACAGAGAGTTGACAAGCTGCAGGGGACCCTGAGCGAGCCCCCTTTTCCCAACTATCTAAGACCCTGCTCTTGTAGTAGGAGGCCTGAGTGTGGCACACACTGGCTCCATGGCTGAAGCACCAGCTCCATGGGCTGAAGTAGGCAGGGACAGTCTCCCTGCTGACTGAGCCAGGGCCCCGAGGCCTCTTCCAGTCTGGATCTCTCTGACCTGCCAAGACCTGCCTTTCCGGTTTCCTCTTCGGGCCTTCCAAGCAGGTGGGGGGGGGGGGGGAGAAATGGGCCAGCCAGAGGATAAGTGGCCAGGTGAGCAGAAGAAGCCTGGTCAAACCAGCTAAGGTCTGCAGGTGGATGTGCAGGAAGCAAGCTAGACCAGCAGGCCTGACAGTTACAGCCACAGGTGAGAAACAAGTGGCTGGACAGAACTGTGGCCAGCAGAGGCAGGCGGGGGGCCACTGTGGACAGCCATCCCAGCCAAAGGCTTTGGGTACCTTCTCCAGAACTTTTAACATCTCTGGGTCATCGGGGCCACAGTGTTGCTTCTCATGAATAACCAACGAGTGACAGGCTGCAGAAAGCCAGTAGCATGCACACCTCTGCAGGTTCCAGCGACCATTTCAACACTCCCTTTGTCCTCTGGCTGGCCCATCTCTGCCCTCCCCTCTGCTTGTGAGATGGGGGATTGGTCTCGCCATATTTACATTGACACACACACACACACACACACACACACACACAGCCGCCACGGAGAACAGCTATATGCCACACAAGGCAAAGTACAGTCTCCTCAATGCATACAAGCTAAGCTGCAGCACACACTGATAGTTCCGTCACTGGCAGGCCACGTCTGCTAACACATTCCAGCACTAGTTACTTATTCTGTGTGTCCAACTAGCCAGTCACACACGCGCCTTGGAGAAGCTGGCATGAGCCCACGGTCACAGAGGCATTGCTGACGGTACTGAAACGTTGCCCCAGCCTGGGTACTGATTCTGGTCCTCTCTCTACCTCTTAGCCCGATTATAACCCAAAGGGTCACATCCTTGCTCCTGCTGGTTTTCCTCCCACTCTGCTGGTCTGCTGGTGAGGAGTCTTCTCCCAGGAGATCCCCTCAATGTCAGTGTTCAGGGCTCAGGCTTTAGACAGACTCCCTTCTCTCTGTTCTCTTGAACTGGGTGACAAACTTTTCCAAGGACACTAAACTCGTCTTTCCTGGCTGGAAATGGTGGGCTGGGGCTCCACCTGCACCCACACCCAGGTGTCTAGTGGGTATCATGAACCTGAACCCGACGTGTCTGAAGTCCAACTCTCACCCCCAACCACACCCCTATCCCACAAGGTGCGGAGGGAGGACATGCTTCCCCCAAGACTTTCTTCGGCTGCACAGGCCCAAGATCAAGTAAAAAACACCTCCATGCCATGTAATCCCAGCACTCGGGGAGGCAGAGGCAGGCGGCTCTCTGTGAGTTCGAGGCCAGCCTGGTCTACAAAGTGAGTCCAGGACAGCCAGGGCTACACAGAGAAACCCTGCCTCAAAAAACCAAACCAACCAAACAAATACACCTCCACACAGGAACTCCCTTGAGGACACCACCCTCCTTCCTCATCCTTCTGAAGCCTGGACCCCTACTTCCCTGAGTATCTGCCTGTCTGCTCCCTGCTCTGCTTCCAGTCTAGCCCTACTGTGGCCAAGTCTATTTTGAGCCACTTCAGGAATCTTTCCAGTGTGTTAAGGACACACTCTTACTTAAGACCCTAGGGGTCTATTAATTCACTTACAATTAAATCCAAGCAAGTACTTGGGAGCGCGGTCTCTGGTCTCCTAAGCACTCTCCCGTCTGCCCTTGCACCATTGATAGTTCTGTCTCTGCAAGCCAGGAACTCCACTCCTGCTCTTATCCCTTGTTCCTACCTAGGCACTCTCCTCCAGATCTTGGCATGGGTTCCCTCTCCTCGGGACTCAGCTCTTCCCTGGGGTGTCCCTGTGAGGGCTGGGAAATGGTCTCTGGAACCTGCAGAGGTGTGCATGCTACTGGCTTTCTGTCACTCGTTGGTTATTCATGAGAAGCAACACTGTGGCCCCGATGACCCAGAGATGTTAAAAGTTCTGGACAAGGTGTTCCTTGTCACATGAATGGATTCCACCACCCCTGGGGTGCCTTGCCTCCTGTGGGCTTCAACCTCTCTACTTTGAATCTCCATTTTTTTGGAGGGGCCAGGCATCTATCTATTGCCTGGGGGCCCGTACTCACCTCACACTAAAATGCTGAAGCTGCTAAATACACACGGGCCAAGAGGCGCCCACATGCTCACACAGCAGACTAAACAGTCACAAATGCACCCAGGTTGGAGCCGGCCCGGTCCTTTCTCCATCTCTTCTTAGCCCCTACTTGAACCCAGGCTGGCTTGGGGGAGTCGGAGTCTGCAGTTTGGGCAGGGAGGGGGTTAATGGCCCTCGGGCATCAGGCAGCACCTACAGCTATGCCTGCAATTTCCTCTCGCCATTCTTGTCCCTCCTCCTTCCCAAGATTCCCGCCAAGAAGGCCTCCCCCTCAGCCCAGCTCCGGCATAGGGAGGAGAAGGAGGGGCGGCCAGGAAACTAGGCAGAGAGAAGAGCCCAGCTGCAGGTCCCCCAGCACACGAGCCTTGAGCCCAGGTGGAAGCACACGTGTGAGTCTGGGTGGGTCCAGCGGGCAAAGCAGCCAGGACGTTTCCTGCGCTTGCAGAGGCAAAGCTTCCCCCCTAACCCCCGCTAGGGTCTGCAGTCTGCCGGGACCTGGCTCCCCGCCGAGTCCAACAATCATTAACCTCGGGTGACCAAGGCAGCTGGACACACTCAGGCAGGGTACTAGGAGGAGGGGCGGGGAGATCGTCTCTCCGAGGACGACCTGTAGGTGCTGGCTGACTCCACTGAGTCAAGGAAGGGCAGGAGGGATGAGCCGGTTTAGACCCGCCCCCAACACAGGAGGAGCCAGGCAGAGAGTAGTTTGGAGCCTGCGCGCTTGGGCCAGAGAGTTGTGAGTTCAAGTCCTGCCGCATAGCAAAGGTCTTCCAGCTCTTCGGACTCGGTTTACTCCATTTGCAAACTGAAGGTTTAATGATGGCCACATTCTATGGTTCGTAGGCTTAAACGAAGGAACGTCTAACGGGGGAGGGAGGGCGGGAGGGCAAGGTTCCGCCAAGCCTTCGGGATGTTCAGTAACTGATGTTGTCAATGCTGGCTGGGGGCGGCCCCTGTGAGCGGCCTCCCCAGCGGCTTCCTGTAGGGGAGCAGGGGCCGCCCCCTCTCCCCTTCCTCCGGGCGCTCTTCCTCCCGCCTCTCCGCCCGCCCCGCCCCGTCCCTCCTCTTTCCTCGGAGGAAACTTTCCGCCGGCTGGCCCATCCTTGTGTCCGGTCGCACCGCCGAGCGAGCCGACTGGGGCGGACGGGGCGGCCCGCCCTGGGTGTATGAGGCCACCGGGGAGACGCCACTGCTGGGGCCCGGCTGCGGGACGCTGACGGGTGAGCGCGGCGGCTCGAGGCCCCGCGGGCGGAGAAGTGCAGGAGGGAGGCGGCTTGGGGAGCCCGAGGCACCGCCTCGCCCTTCCGTGCGCTGGGCCTCGCCTGGGGACCCCACGAGGGGGCGGAGCGTGTGCGGCCGGGGATGGAGGGGCGTCTTCGGGGCAGCAAGGACTAGTAGAAAGTCTGGATCTGCGACCAAGAGAGGGGAATCCCTCTCCCCCAGGGTGGAGGACCTCACGTAGGTGACCTCGCAGGCTGACAGGGGAGCGGCCCCCTCCCAGCAGCATGGATGCCCCGAGGAGGGACATGGAGCTACTCAGCAACAGCTTGGCGGCCTTTGCGCACATCCGAGGTGAGGGCAGGCCTGGGGGAAACGGTGTCCGTCCATCATAACCCAGGCAGCCCTCCACTCCCAGCTGCTCACTCTGTCCTCTCTGCCTGACCCCCGGTGCCCTTCCGTTCCTTGCCCCAAGCCTACACCCTGGATCTCTCCCAGATGGGATCACTCCAGCATGTCAGGCCCCCCTCTGTGACCTTCTCCCCCTGCTCTCCCTAGCTAACCCGGAGAGCTTTGGCCTCTACTTCGTGCTGGGTGTCTGCTTCGGTCTGCTGCTGACCCTATGCCTGCTGGTCATCAGCATCTCCTGCGCGCCTCGCTCGAGGCCCCGGGTCCCTGCTCCCCGCCGGGATCCTCGCAGCAGCACCCTAGAGCCGGAAGATGATGAGGACGACGACGACGAGGATGAGGACACCATGACGAGGCTGGGTCCCGATGACACACTGCCGGGCCAGGAGCTGTCCACAGAGCCCGACGGGCCCCTTGGTGTCAATGTCTTCACGTCAGCAGAAGAGCTGGAGCGAGCACAGCGGCTGGAGGAGCGTGAGCGGATCCTGCGGGAGATCTGGCGTACAGGGCAGCCAGACCTGCTGGGCAGCGGCACGCTGGGGCCGGGAGCCACAGCCACGCTAGGCAGAATGCACTATTACTGACACCCGAGCCCCGCAGCATGGGGCCCAGACTACTGGACATGGGGCTGAACTCGGTGCTGCCTCAGGGCCTTTAAACTGCCTCTGCCCCAACTCTCTTGGTGCTATTGGGAGTGGATCGGCTCAGCACTCTTCACAGGGCAGGTGTGGGTGGGAAAAGAACGCCAGGTCCCACCTTCTCCCCCTGGTAATATGAATGACCAATGAAAGCTAGTCCGTGACTCAGTCTCTCCCTTGGCTAACACTGCTTTCAGCAGGCCCCTAGGGTCCAGCCTTGGGTGGAGTTTCAGAGCTGTGGGCGGTACCCCTTTTGCTGGTTGCACCCCCTCTGGGGGCTCCACCTGATGCATGCTTGTGCTCACTTCACAGACCAAAGAACCAGACGGAGACACGCCTCTTGCACACAGGGTGGATATTAGCAGCATTCCTCACAGATACATTCCTTCCTAGCTTTAACACTTGGACAAATAGTCACCTAGTTCCCTGCCCTGCGACCTGACCTGGGATGTCACTGCAATCACATAGGGAGGCCCAAGGCTCCTCCGACCTTCATGCTAATTCTGTTAGACTTAGTGCCTGAATGGAGCTGGGAGTACAGTTTTGGGCCAAGAATCATTCCAAGTGAGTGGACACTGGAGTCCCTTTGAGCAGAGGCTGACTGGGCGGAGCTGGGCCCAGAGGAGGCTGGCTCCACCCCTCTAGCACTCAGCTGGGTTCCTGAATCCAGTTGAGGGTCCGGGCCATTCCACCCTGTATCCAGCGCAGCAGCAGCAGCACTGGCGTCCGAAGGAGACTACCCCCGCCCCCAACCATCCGGTGGATAAAAATAGCCTTGCACAGGGCTTGAGAATGGTAATGGGAGCCACATGTTGGCCAGATGTGCCCAAGAGAGACCGCCAGGAATGCGTGCGTGCGCAGGGGCGGTATGCTGGCCGGCCCCGCCCCACACGGACCAGGCTGGTCTGAGAGTTCAGAGTTTTTACTTCCTTGGAGTTTCTCAAAGTTGTGTGCAAAGACCGGGTGGCCCGAGCGGGATGGATGTCCCTCCAGGTCGGGCTGAGGCTCCGCCTGTACTCGCCCTCATGTCGTCTGTGTCTGCGCGTGTTTGAAGGACTTCTGGTTCCTCAGCATCATCTGAACCTAGTCGGGAAAGGGCATCAGGGACCAAAGCTGCTGCCCTCTTCCCTCCTGGGTCGGCATTCCACCCACCTCTAACGACCGGAGCTTCTCTTTCCCAGTCTTCAGCTCCTCCCAGACATCATTCATCTTCTCTCTGTATATACAGGGGTTCAGGTGAGACGCTGCCCTTATCTCCGCCCCACCCCTCTCCACATTACCGCCCACTGCCCGCTTACTCCAGCTTCGACTCCAGATGCTCCAGCACACTCTTTAGCTTTCCCACCTGTTCTTTTAACGATTCTATATCTACGCTGTCATTCTTGGATTCATTGTCATTCTTGGGTTCGCTGTCATTCTTGGGTTTGGAGGAACTTAGTGGGACCACAGGATGAAGTGTGGCAGTTTCTTCAGAGTCTGGAATCTGCTTGACAGAATGTGGTACTTGGGGAGTGGGGACTGGCTCTTTAGGAGGCACCTGCTCTTGGGGACCCACCCCTTCAGAAGGCAGCTCTTCTTTGGGGAGTGCCTCGTTCAGGGTTGTCTCATCTTTGGCTGGCGGCCCCTCCAGAAAATTGGCCCCATCCTCAGCCTCGGGCTGGGCTGGGGAGCTGTCTTGCTGTATACCGCAGAGGGAACACCTCTCTGCAGACTGAGAAGGGTGGGGGTAGTCTCCTGGCACCTGGATGTCACTTTGGGAGGCAAGAGACTCACACCCCTGTGTGGTTTCTTTCTCAGGCAAGTGCTGGCATTGAGTGTTGTCTCTAGGAGACTCCTCTTCAAAAAGTATGTGCTCTGGGGTCAGGATCTTTACTAGTACCGGGTCACTGTCCACATGAAGGGCCATCTTTGGGTCAAGGGCTTCATCCTTGGTTGGGGCTTCTAGGGCAGGGGCCTCATCCACAGAAAGGGTACTCTCTGGAGTGACAGCCTTGTCCAGACTGGTATTCTCTGCAGTGGGAATTTCATCATAATCCGGGGCTTTCTCTGGAACAGGGTCCTTTGGCGTGGACACTTTGGGAGACGCCGGGACCTTCTCCGGGCCAAGGGCTTTATCTGGAAGCCGAGTCTTATCTGGAGTGGGGCTTTTTTTCCTGGAAGGGGTCTTCCCTGAGCTCCTCTGTTCATCCTCCTGTGGTGATGGATTGGAAGCTGGACAGCTTGAAGGGACTTCCTTGTTCCCCTTGGGGTTTTTCACCCTTGCGCAACACACCTGTGGGAACCACCTCCTCCTAGTAATCCACCCTCCCATGTATCTGGCCCCTTACCTGATTTGATGCAGAGCGCTGCTGAGAAGCCTGGGTTCTGCACCGCTTTCTCCCAGGCTGCCTGGGCCCCCCATTGAGGAAGCCGCCATTGGATCCTAGGAGAGTAGAGAGTCAGGGACCAACGCTCATCTCTAGCCCCCAATACAACCACCTTATCCCCGTCTTCCACTGTAGGAAGGAAGCCCTTACCGGGGTCTCGGGAGGGTCGTTTCTGGCTGTCTCCACTGGGTGTTAAAGATGTCCTGGAGCACATCAGTAACATATGAGACAGGGGCGGGAGTAAAATCGCCTCTTTACCCTCCCTTCCACCTCCAATGCTCCTTCCTCCTTACTTGGCTTTGCTAGGTGCAGGGGTGGATGTTGCCACCTTCTTCCCAGTGGGTAGGGAGGATCTGGGCATCAGCTTTTTTGTTTCCTTAATAGGAGCTGGGGAGAGAGGGGTGAATAGTAGCCATTCGCCCAAGTCATTGGCTATCTGTGTATTGTGATGTCCACTGAAGACAGGACGGGCGGTGAATTCTACCTGACTTTGGGAGGTCACACCAGGGCTTAGGGAACTGTAGAGCACCCCAGTGGGGGAAAGAGCAGCCAGCCAGCAGGGAAGGAAAGCTGTGTGTGGGAAATAGGTCGCTCTCCACCCTGCCAGGCTTTTGATCCACTTCTTGAAGACTTGTTCCCTGGTTGGTGCCCATAAAGAGTTCTGGTTCAGTCTGATTCAGTCCTTATTTCCTTTTGGACCACCACTAATTCCCTCGACTCCCAATACACACCCTTTTTTTTTTTGTTTTTTGTTTTTTGTTTTTTTTCCCCAAGATAGGGTCTTACTATGTAGCTCTAGAGGTCCTGGAACTCCCTATGTAGGCCAGAGTGGTCTCAAAATGCACAGAGATCTCCCTGCCTCTGCCTCCTAAGTGCTCGGATTAAAGATGAGAGCCACTATCCCTGGCCTTAATTTCCCCTTTCTGGTCTCACTTTAGCTTCTATTGCTGTCTCACACCTTTAAAATAGCTCACCCAGTCTTAAGGGCTTCATCATCAATAAGCCAGTGATGCCCAACCTCCATCTGTTATCATCGTGAGCTCTCAGTGGTGTCAAGCTACTCTCTCCCCACTCGTGAGTTCAAAGGGCAACTATAGTATAAGGAGACTCAGCCTCAAAACACAAAACAAAAAGACAAAAGTTCCTTTTGGAGAGCCGTTGGCAGTTACAACATGGCGTCTAGATGCAAGCTCCGGTTTCCCTTACCCTAGCCCCTGAGCCTTCCGCATTTCTACTGTTCTCAGGCCCCCCGCTTATTTGCATGGATAAGACAATAAGGAGCTATCTTTGACTCATTTTCCTTAATCCTTTACACTTGTAAACATTTCAGCAAGAGGGCTAGATAGATGGATCAGGGGTTAAGAGTACCAGCTACAATTCTGGAGGTCCTGGCTTCAATTCTCAGCACTCACATGGCAGCTAACTGTATGGGTTAGCCACCGAGCCCCAAGTATTGCTCTTGCAGAGAACCCTTCAGTTGCCAGCACCCACTGAGGGAAAGGATGTCTTATAACTGCCTAGAACGATTCAGGGTGACCCAAGGGCTCTGTGGACACCAGCACTCACATGCATAGACATAAAAATACAACAAAAAAGTATATGTGTGTATGTGTGCGCATAAATATATATATTTAGTTCTTTTTCTCCTCAGACAGGGTTGTCTTGTTGTTTTTTTGTTTTTTGTTGTTTTTTTTTTTTAAGACGAGTTCTCTCTGTGTAGGCCAGGCTGGCCTCAAATCAGAGATCCGCCTGCCTCTGCCTCCTGAGTGCTGGGAGATTGAAGGTGTGTGCCACGAGCACCCAGCAATTTTTAATTTTTAAGCAATGTTCTAAATATATGTGTTTTTATGTGCATACGTGTGCATTAGCCCAGGTATGTAGGGCAGAAGACACCTTGGGAGAATCATTTTCCTCCTTCCACCATGTGAATGCCAGGGATCAAAGTCAAAGTCATCATCTGAGTTGATGCCTTCACCTCACCAGCCAGCCCTACAGTACACAGTCTTAACTGAGTGATCTGGATGCCATGGTGCATGCCAGTAATTCCAGCCCCAGGAGCCAGAGGTAGTTAGAATGCTGCAAGTTCAAGGCCAGGCTGGGCTATGTTGTAACACCCTGTCAAAACACCTGTCTAGTTTTCTAAGACTTTGGGATTTAAAAGAGGCTAGGAGAGGGACTGAAGAGATGGCTCAGGAGTTAAGGGTATCAGCTGTTCTCCCAGACGACCTGGCTTAGAGTCCCAGCACCCACACGACAGCTCACAACCATTTGTAATTCCAATTCTAGGGGATCCAACACCCTCTTTCTGGCCTCCGTGGGCACCATACACACAACCAAAACATTCATACACATAAAATAATTTAAACAACGAAAAAAAAGAACAGAAGTACACAAATAGAGCTAGGGGCGGTGGCGGCGGCACAACCTTTAATCTCAGCCCTCGGGAGGGAGAAGGCAGGTGGATCTCGAAGCCAGCCTAGTGTACAAGAGAAACCAACCCTGCCTTAGAAAACAAAAATAAAACACAAATAGAGAACTGAGGCCAGAAAGTGGTGTCCTGGTTTCATTTCTATTGCTGTGACGAATGCCTTGATAAAAGCAACACAGAAACAAAGGGCCTGTTCGGTTTCCAATTCCCAGGTTACAGTTCATTACTGCAAGGAAGTTAAAGCAGGAAGCATCAAATCCGCAGACAAGAGCAGAGAGAAAATAAATACACAGACCCTTACTTGCTTGCTCTCAGCCAGCTTTTTCCTCTTATGCCGTTCTGGACTCCTTTATCTAGGGATAGTGTTACCCACAATGCACTGGGTCTTTTCTGTGTCAATTAACAATCCAGACACAGCACAGGTGCTAATCTGGGTAACTGTGGCTCCTGAGCTTGGGGCCAGTGATATGGAGCAGGGGGCCCAGGCTCTGTTCCCTTCTCTTACCAACAGGCCAGAAGCTCAGTCACCCTGAGTCACCTTTCCTTGGGACAGCTGAGAGGCTGCTGGGAGTTGGTGTCCTCCAGCTGCTGGCAGGGACAAAACCAAATCCTGCTCGAAGTCTTTCTTTGCTAAGGCAGCTCAGATCAAATCATGAGCTCATAAAGCTGAGAAACACACGTAAAGGCAGGCCAGTGTGTGCAGGGTCAGCGGACCCAACTTATCACACACACTGCGATCATAGGGTAAAGAACACGATACGACTAGGTGAGAAACGTTAGAAAGGAAGGATATGTGGGCAACAAAGGGATTATCAGGAAGAGTCAGCTAAGAAAAGCACACAGTAAGCTGAGTGACTACAGACAACATTCCTGGAAAAAGACACAGCACAAGCCCGCCTGCGCGTGTACGGACAGGACTTACCCTTAGACACACACGCTAAACAGCAGAGTAAACACAGCCGAAAGCTGGAGAGAACTAAAGGAGAAGTGGGGGAGGGGCACAGCGGACATTCCTGCCAATGTCCTCAGTGAGGTGGTGCCTAAGTCCTCAAGTCCTCTTCCGGGAAGCCTTCTAAGAAGATGGACAGAAGACAGAATGGATATATCTGTGCTGCAGACACTGTCCGGGGTGTTGTAACTGTAGAGGAGTTTGTGCCTGACAGTGCTCCTGTGGGGCTGTGAGGAGCAGCAACTTCACAGCATGGGAGCCAGCTCACTCATGTGATATGCATCCAAGGACATTAACAAAGGATGACTTGAGGCTGGAGACATGGCTCAGCAGAGCGCTGGCTGCTTGTCCAAAGGTCAGGGCTTCAATTCCCAGCAGCTCACAACCAACTGTAACTCCAGATCCAGGGGACCCAGGAGGCCTTCTTCTGGCCTCCAGAGGCACTGCCTTCATGTAGTACGCAGACAGATATGTTCAAACACAATACACACATTTTAAAACAACAACAACAACAAAGGGCTGGAGAGATGGCTCAGGTTAAGAGCACTGGAGGCTCTTCCAGAGGTCCTGAGTTCAATTCCCAGCAACCACATGGTGGCTCCCAACCATCTATATGGGGATCTGATGCCCTCTTCTGGCATGTAGGTGTACATGCAGAAAGAGTATTCAAATACATAAAATAAGCAAATAAATGTTAAAAAAAAAAAAAAAAAAAAAAGAGGCAGGCCATGGTGCTGCATGCCTTTAACCCCAGTGCTCGAGAGGCAGAGGCAGAACTCTGTGAGTTCAAGGCCAGCCTACTCTTCAGCCTACTCTTCAGAGTGAGTTTCAAGATAGATAGAGCTTGCGACCCTGTCTTGAAAAACAAAACAAAAAGATGACAATCCACTGGATAGGAAAAAGCTTTACAAAATGATGGACTTATTTATCATTCACCATCATCATCTTTGGTATATGGGGGGTTAAAGCTAGGGCCTGCCTCATGCTTACCAGGCAAGGGCTCTATCACACAGCTGTAGCTCCAGGCCTAGACTTTCATCTACAACATTAAGAATCCGGCCATTCAGTAGTAAAGCGCACAACCCAACTGGCACAGAGTGCCCACAGAGCCAGTAAACCCGGGAAAAGCCTCTCAGGACCATGAGGCTGCAGAGGCAGACCAAGCCCACAAGGTGTCCTCCTGTCCACCGGCACAGCTCTAGTGGAGACATTAACCAGCAGGGGTTGTGAATGTGGAGAGCCTGAGATCTTTGTACGCTGCTGGGGGTAGGCAGGAGGACCATGAGCCGGGACTAGGTAAGTGAGTAAGACCCTGTCTCAAAGATCAGTGTCAGAGCACTTGTCTAGCAGGCACAAAGCCCTGGGGCTTCCAGGGTGGGTGTGGGGGATGGAGAAATGGCTAGGTAGCTAACAGCATTGGCTGCTATTCCAGAGGGCTGGGGTTCAGTACCCAACCACTACATGGAGGCTCACAACTGTTTGTAACTCTAGTTCCAGAGGATCGACACCCCCTTTTGGTCTGCACAGAGACCTGTTATACATGTGCTGCACAGACATGCACGCAGGCAAAACAGCCATACACATAAAATAAAAACAGCTACGTCCTTTTTCTTTTTGAGGGGTGGTGTTGAGACAGTTTTCCGACACAGCCTTGGCTGTCCGGGAACTCACTCTGGAGACCAGGCTGGCCTCGGACTCAGAGATCTGCCTGTCATTGTCCCCCGACTGCTGGGACTAAAGGCTCAAATAACTAAATCTTAAAAAAAAAAAAAAAAGAAAAAAAAGGCCTGGGAGCAAGAGAGAGCTCATGCGCTTGCTCCCTATGCAAGCATGATGACACGCAGTATTCCCCAACCTACATAAAAAAAAGAAAAAAGAAAAGAGCACTGTAGAGCACGTTTGTAATCTCAGAGCCGGGAAGCTGGAGACCAGATCCTTAGGGTTCACTGTCTAGTCACCCCAAGCCCAGTTGGCAAGCTCCAAGTCCCAGAGAGGAGGTAGAGTGACAGAGGAATGTACCAAAAGCCAAACTTCACGTGCACAAACTCATCCGCACACCCACATGTGTACGCCACACACATGCAACCACCACACACACACACACACACACACACACACCTCTACTGAGGACTAGGGAGATGGTCAGTGGGTAAAGTACTTGTCATGCAAGTGTGAGGACCTGACTTTGGATTCCTCAGAACTCAAGCATTGATAAGCCTAGGACTCAGGGGCTGGAGAGATGGCTCCGTGGTTAAGGGTACTTCCTGCTCTTGCAGAGGACCAGGGTTCGATTCCCAGCACCCACATCAGATGCAAACACACATATATATGCATAAATAAAAAAGAACAAAAGCTTAAAAAAAACAAAAACAACCAACCAGAGAATACACAGAGGTGGAAGGAAGCCCTGGTCAAATTAGGTAGAAAATGAGGACTGACACACAAGCCTCCACACACATCGCGATGCACACATACACACACATACACACACCTGTGCACACACAGAGACAAAGTTCTACTGATCTCATTCATAACACTGACAAAGCAGTGGGAAAACTTACAATCCTTCCAAAAGATTCAGATAAACAATGTGGCAAAATTCAATGCCAATTTTTGGTAAAATCCCGAAGTATCTAGGCTTGAAATACACCTAAATGGCCGAATGCTTGCCTAGTACTCAAGAGGTCCTTGGTTCAGTTCCTTAGGACAAAAACCAACCTTCAGTATAAACAGGATGAGGCAGAACAAACACCACTGCAGGAACGGAGAGGGAAGCGCCCGTGGGCAACCTGGCATGTCGGCCCCCAGCTGTAATTTAACATTTGGAAGGTGGGAGTGTGTGGTCAGCCTGAGGCTACATGAAGCCCTATCTCAGAAGAAAACAAGAACAAAAGTAAACAGGTGGAAGCAAGCCATCAACTGAAAACCCGGACAGACAGATTTTTGGGTCTAAGAAGGTAGGATCTTGCCATGTAGTCCTAACAGACTAGGAACTCACTGTGTACACCAGGCCGACATCAAACTTGGAGCAATCTTCCTGTTTCTGTCTCCAAAAGTGCTTAAGATTGCAATCATAGGCGATATCAGTAGTTTTGAGGAACTGTCTTTTTTTTTCTTTTAAAAAGGTTTGTTTTTATTATGTGTATGAGTGTTTTTGTCTGTCTGTCTGTGCACCACATGTGTGCACAGTGACTGCAGAGGTTAGATACAGGCTGTGTGTGTGTGTGTGTGATATCTTCTAGAACTGGATTTAGATGGTTGTAACTGCCAGGTGGACAGTGGGAACCAAACTTGAGTCTTCTGTAAAACAAGTGCTCTTAGCCAGGGAGTAGTGGCTCACGCCTTCAAGCCTAGGCAGGTAGATCTCTGAGTTCGAGGCCAGCCTGGTCTACAGAGCGAGAGCCAGGACAGCCAGGACCACACAGAGAACCCCTGTGTGTGGGAGGGGCCGATGGGAGTTGCACTTCTTGGCTACGATGGGTGCTGCACTGATCACTCGGGGATGGAGAGAGGGCACAGTGGTTAAGAGCACTTCTCAAGGACCAGGTTCAGTTCCTGGCACCCACAGGGTGGTTGACAACCATCTGTGACTCCAGCACCAGAGGCTCTAATGCCTTCCTTCTGGCCTCTGTGTGTACTGCATGCCTGTGGTACACAAACATACAGTCGGTGTAAACAAAACGAAGTGTGGAGTCACGTTTTCAAATACTCGATATGGGTCATGGAAGGCAACAGTCCCAGCTTATAAAAGCTTACCTTACTATTTTTTTCCTATCCCAAAATTGTGTTTTACTTGAAATAACTTGGTTTTGCTCATTAAGTAAGAGCTTTGTATTGTCAACATCTGAAATACATATACAAAGGTTATTATATGCGGAAGCAGGAAAGCAAGCAGACTCTCTTCATACTCATTCCTTGGATGCTGACTTTTGACATCTTTTACAAAACTTCCAAGCACTGGATCCTTATGCAAGAGTCTAATGTAACAAGCAGGTAATTACAGTGACCTTATCCTTCTACAGAGATACGGCACATGGCCCAGACAGTTGTACAATTGCATTTAACCCGTTAATATTTTTAAAATTAGTTTATTTGTTTTATGTGCACTGGTATTTTACCTACATGTTTATCTGTGTGAAGGTGTCAGATCCTCTAAAACTGGAG